AGTTGGCACAGAAAATTGGATGTTAGAGGTTGAACATTACCTCTTTCTTTAAAAGGAAGAGAGAGGGGGGGAAGAAACAACATAGAAATTAAGTAGAGAAAGCTGCGTGGATTGTAAAGTCAAAGACTTGAAGCTTACAACATTCCAGGCTTGCTTTTAAATCCTATCTTACTTGTGTCGTGCCGTCTGCAGGATGGTATCTGTCCATACAGTCACTTGCTGTTGCCCGGCGGTTGCAGACAAGACCAAGCTAAATGGGGAATCATGGCTTCTTCATTGAACAGTCCTCCCGTCAGCTGGTTCGCTGAAGCTTGTCTTGGGTGTTGCAGAATTAGTCTTGAGTTGTATTAACGCATGGGATTAATTAGCCTGGGATGTTAGAGAGATTGCAGCTTCCCTCAGAGCTGGAGGAAATTAGGCAGGTTTTAGATATTGAGGTCTTAGAACGGTTGTATGTAAGAGGGAAAATGTAAGTGGCAGTTTGTTTTGGGAGTACTTGCCAATAAATAAAATCCCAGGAAGAGTAGAAACATCTGTCTGTATACAAACACAGCACATTCTTTTGCATACTCTGTGGGAAGCTGTGCTTCTCCTTCTTTATATTTTTAAATGTTTTTTGTATAAGTTCTTTGCTTCCGGAATACATATTTTTTTGCCCCTCAGTATGTTACGTTGCATACCTTTTGCTTCCTTGCTATGAATCTAATCTCTTTAGCTTCATTTATTTTTCTTAACTTTTATTAAATCATTCATCTCCTTTTTGTTCTCATGTTTAAAATGCTTGACTTTTTTTTCCCCTCTTAAGATTACATCTTATGCCTTTTAAAAAAAGAGAAAGTAAGTCTCCTCTTTGCTTATTCTTTTGGTCAGTCCCTTCCTTAAGCTTTTCAATTTGGGGAGAAAGAAGCCTTAGCTCACATTTTGGTTTTTGATGAATGCAGGGAAAACCTGTTTGTGGGCAGAAACCAGTGCCTTTTTATTTTCCTAAGTGTTTTGCAGTTGCCACTTGTCCCTGCGAGACCTGCACTGCAGAGTACCTGTACATTTCAGTGCTTGTCCTTTTTCATGGCCTGAAGAGCTGCGGTTTCACGCATTCTAGAAGTGATGCAGCGTTCACTCAGTAGATCAGTGTAATTGTGGCTTTTGCTTCCATCGTAGCCCGTCATCATTTCCTATGGCACTTCACAGAAACTGAGAGCTCTTAAGAGTGCACACCCTAGCAGGGATCAAGAAGATTTGGGTCTTACCTGCTTAAGCTCAGCAGTTCTTACACGGTTTATTGCTGGCTTCCTGTTAATTCCGGTTCAGTTTTGGAAGGACTGGTGGCAGAAGTTATTTTATCATGTAAGATGAAATTCTTCTAGAGAGCTATACTGCAAATTTGGTTATTTTGCCCTCTTATGTCTGTTATCTTGAAGTATTTAGTCTCTGTGCTTCCGTTAGTTCATCAAGATGTGTTAAAACTACATAATGGGTCTTGACTCATAATATACTAAGCTGTTACTTAGATAGTTAAGCAAAGATGTTTTAAAATTTTCATGCCTCTACTTGTGTGAGAAGTCCCCAAGATTTTTTTCAGCCTAGCAGAAGACTTGAACAAGAGTTGAGATTCAGCTTTACACATCGTTTTATTAACAAAATTGTGGTTGCCTGGTGTTTTTTCTAGTAGTGCTCCGTTACTATGACTTTGGATAGATTGTGAAGGGGAAAAGTTAATACAAGATAAGCTTTTTCAAAAATACTCATTGCTGTAAAACATTGGAAACACAGTAGTTGCCCCAGCTTCAAAATGATTAACAGAATCTCAGTTTCACTAGCATTCAGGGATTGAAGGGAGCATTAATGTTAGACTTTTTTCTTTGCCTCAGTTTTCCTTATTTACTTCACCCTTATTTGTGACTGGGGTTAGTACATCCTTCTGTGTTTCTGGAGTTGTGTTGCTTTATCTGTGCTTTATAAATACAGTTTGCAATGAATATAAATAAACACAGTGAACTTAGCAGGCAGAGTTAGTTTTATTTGGGAGGGCTGCAGCTCTGCAGCATTAAGGGAAAGTAATGAAAAATTTAAATATTTGCAAAGAACTCCGTACAATGATGGAAAACTCATCTTTGGAGGAGGTCAGGCTGTGTCTCTGCGGATCCGTCACAGGTCCGCGTGGCTGGAGTTTACCTGGTGCTACATCAAGAGGCTGTGTTCGGGTGTGCTTGTCTCTACCCCTCAGCACTCCTGTCTTGGCTGCTCTGTCCTGTACCGAGCAGATAAACCCTGTGGACATCTTAGCTACTGGAGAGCAGCTGTCTCGAGAGACTCTGCAACTTGATTTCAGGCACAGCAGAACACGCTAGACTCACGTTGCAACTTTTTTTTTCTGCACCGTTGCCTCTACAGATTCCCTAAAATAGGGCATTGCCGTCAGTTTGGGTTAGGCTGGGGGTCTGCAGCCCACAAAAGCCGCCAGACGTGACACCTGAACTGCCCTGAAGACCCTTCTACGTGCGCTGACTTGTTATCCGAGCCAGCAAGTCCGAGCAAACTGAAGTTGTCTCTGCATGAAGCCAATTCTGGATTGTCTGCATCTGTGCTCTGGGCTGATCTACAGCCCAGATCAACTGCTCTGATAATTGAAGGATTGACTGAACTAATGTGTCCCGCAGAGATGGCTTCTGTGGAGTAGAACTTAACATTTTTGTTAAGATCTTTGCTGTAATATCCCGTTGATAGTCATCTGCCTGCCTCACCTGCGTGACTGGGACAGGGAACACAAGCTGTATCAGCTATTTTCTGTAATTGTAAACCCCAGAGGATAAGCAATGATTAGGGATCACTCTAGGCTAATGAATTTTACGGGTGCAAAAGATTGCAAAGGCAAGAACAGTGACAGCTTCTGCAAGGAAAATGTTTATCAGTTTGCCAGTGCTGTTGTAAGTACATGATTACAAATTTGATGCAACAAGTCTACTTTTAATTTTTAAAAGCTGTTTTTCTGTATGTAAATTATACCTGCCATTTGTTCCACTTAGACACGTGAATGAACAGAAATCCAGCATTTGAGTATCCAGCTAATCTGAACTGAATTTGCTGTTATTTGCACCTGCGAAAGGTAGATGGGAAATCAAGTTCAAATTTGAGCTGAGAAAGTAAGCTCTCTAGCAATAAATATTTCAGATTCCTCAGTTATTTCTGTTTGAAGTGCTCCACCCTTAAGTAAGGAGAGACCTTGCATCAAATTAAGGTGATTTGTGTTGCTACAGGGCTTTGGTTTTTTTTTTTTTTTTGCTGCTTCCAACTTTGCATCTTATCTGCAGAGTCCTCAGAAATCATGGTTACCTTTGAATAGCGAATGTCCGTAGGGCAGTGGTCTGTAAATCCGTGCCTGCCTCGTCACGTTGCTTGTAGAACCAGTGCCTTTGTGCCAACCAAAAAATAGATCCAATACCCAGAATACTCCTTGAGGTCCAAACTTTCTCTACTTGAGGACTAAGGAATGGATGGCTGCTTTTTGATTTGTGATGACGTAATAAAAATCCGTTTTGAGACAGAAATGCTTTCTAGTATGTAATACGCCCCTGAAGTGGCGATTTGATCTATTGTATTAGTGCTAATAGTGTGCCCGATAAGAGGAGATGTGTTGCAAGAGATGCCATCTGTGGAACGAATCGTAAAGCGGAGGTTCTGACCTCCAGCGCTAGGCTGAAGGGCTCAATGGCAAGAATAGGTATGTTAGCCCCAGTATGCTGGACAAATTCCAGACTCAATAACAGCATTCTTCCCAAATGTAATTTATAGCTTCATCTGGATGTAGTATTTTCTTTTGCTTATTCTATTGTTGCATTTTATTAAACAGTTGCTGCCTTTTAAATTGAGTGATCTTTTTTCTATGTGATTGTGCTTTTAAAGGCCTTTGGAGTTTTGCACTCCAAGAGGTGCTAAATCAATTTTTTATACTGTTTCAAAAAAATGCCCTTCCCCCCCAGCCTTCTCAGTACTTAATGAAACTTTTCAATGAGGTGCCATCAGAACTTTTATCAAGATGTACATTGTAATAGAAACGAATGCAAACTTGAACTGCCGTTTTCCTAAATATTCCCTGTCTATAGCTACTCATGTACCGTAGAAAAGATGTATTGATCCATGATAAATTATGAATTACAGTTTAGAAAATAATCTAAAAGAAATTCAAGAATAATGAAAAGTTTTTTTTGAATGCATATAGAAACAGTCATATCGTAATGCTTCTTGATCTTTCTTCATTCAAGTATATCCGTAACAACATACATTTATTACAGAGGAATGGATGACATGATTGAGAACAGAGTATCCTATAGCCGTGTAGGAACTTGTAACCAAGAACCAAATATGCGCACAAAGCCTCGCACCTGTATGCACTTTCTTGCATTATTGGGCCTGGCAGGTTGGCCTATTTATAGGTTTTCTGCAGAGTGTGTTTCAAATCTGAGCTTGATATTAAGAAGCTGTGTGCAAGTGTCAGCTCTGCAGGCTAAAGGTATGGGTTTGGCCACGTCACTTGGGGTTTTTCTGGGTTTTGTTGGAACATAGAATCATAGAATCGTTATTAGTAGTAATGTATTTAATATGTAAATACAAGCACTTAGTAGCAGCTGTAAATGCTTTGATTATTTGCCAAGCCAAACTGATCAGAACTTTAAATTCTTAAGTTTTATGTTCAAGAACAAAATTTCCTTTCTTTCCTTCTCCAACAGCTCCGAAGATTACTTTGGTAATACCAGATGACTTTGTTAATGGGCGAATAATACGTAGTGTGATTTACTTTATTTTGCATTCTTCCTTCAGAGCAGAAGCAATGTTTTCTTTTTCACTTTTCCTTTGATAAATTGGCAGTTTTTTGTTTAAAAGTATTAAATTACTGAATGATTTGAAAATGTGTTTAAAATAGTTGGACTGTATAACAACTCTAACATACAGTGACAGTGAACAATATATGACTGCTAAATTTTAATACTATGGATTTTGTGTAGATCACGATCAAGACCTCGTCAACGTTCTTATAGTCGAAGTAGTGAAAGATCCAGTCATAGGAGAACTCATAGCGGGTCTCGTGAAAGAGAGCGGCGTAAAGGCAGAGAGAAAGAAAAAATAAAAGAGAAGGGCAAAGGAAAAGAAAAGGAGATATATGGCACGAAGCATGGGTAAGTGAAATGACAAACAATATAACTATAATAAAAACAGGGAACAATTTAGTGTCGTTTTACTTTTTTGTAATCAATTTGCTTTATAGTATGTGGTATTTTATATAAACCAAGTGGAAATTATTTACAGTCTTTGAATAGTGTGATTCTTAGTATTTTAAAGTTCTGAAATACGACAACTTTTCAAACTTAAATGATGGTTTAACTTACAATTCTTTTTTTTCCCCCTTGATGCGCAACTATGTTAAATAGCTTTCTTTAATTGATTAATATAAACATTTTTCCAATACGTAATAACCACAATTTAAGGAAAAAAGATGATTATTGGAAAGTACGAAGACTATTTCCTATGAAAAGATGTTCTTTATTGTTCACCCCCCCACACACATTGTTAGAAGTTCCCATTGGGCTTCGTTTGTGGCTCAAAGTACGGCTTCAGCAGAAGCACTTGCTGTGGGTGAATGATGGTCTGCCTTTCAAAACCTGATTTCTGCTTGAAATGACTGACTTGGATTGTTGATCTTGTTTTTCCAGGTTTCAGAAAAAGCAATTTATGTAATTACCTCTGCTTTATACACCTTGGTCTCCTCCAACCTTTACTGTGATGTTTATCTTTTCACTGTTGATGTGATTGGCTTCAAAAAGGAAGACACTGGTGTGTCACTTCACGAATTTCCCTTTGGTGGATTCCCACTGAAACGCTACACGGGAATTTCTAGAGTAGCATCCTCCACCCATGTTTGTGGAGGTATCTCACAAATACCTTCCTGGTTTTATGGCTTGATGATGTTGGTTATTGAGTCTCTCGGATATCGTTACCTACTTGTCCATGGTTATAGCATCGATGATGTAAACATTCAGGATTAGCTATTTGCATGGCTGTTTCTTATTTGCGGTACGTTAGACTGCTGGGAACTTCAGGAGTGGCATCTTCCATTCATTTTAAGGGATACATTCCTCATTTGACTAAACCACGTGGGATATTTCTCTCTTCTTGTTGTGGACGTTTTCAGTAATCAGTAGCATTGAATGTAAACAGAGCCCTTGCGATGTTTGCAGTGTGTCTGATAAGTCACAAACAAGATGCCTTTTACCCATTTATCTGAAGTTCAAATATATTTTGGTACTTCTAGAAGACTTGAGGAGAAGCCTGGATGTTCCAGCCAAAATTGGTTTGGTGGGTTGTTTTTTTATTGAAGTGGAAAAGTAGGGAAAAGATCCATACTGAGCACATAACATTTGGTGTGTGAGAGGTTTTCTGGACTTTGTGTGGAAGCACATCTTAAATCATGTTGGAGTATATAGCAGTGCTCTATTAGCTTACTGCCTGACTTTATGTCCTTTTATAACAAGGATCAATATGAGATGGCTGTAGGAAGAACACAAAAGTGCCCCAAATTTTTTTTTGGAAGCAAGTAATTTATATTTTGATAACTTACAAAATCGCTTATGCTAAATTTGAAAACAAAATGCCCTGTTTGGGTCATTTCCAAGGTAATTAGGACAAAGAGTACAAATTGATAATAGAAACATTTTATGACATCAGTCCATTTTCCTCTGAGCTCAGGTACTGACTGGTAGGCTTTGTACAGGGATTTCTTACTTGGAGCATTATTAGAATACAAAATGAAATGTACCTAGGATGGTGTTGATATAATCTGTGCTTCATAAACTTTTCTGAGGGGGGACGACATGTTTTTCAGTTTAATCAAATAGTGATCAAAGTGTATCTGTACAGAGAATATGGATCTGAGGAGCTTTTTCCCTTTACAGTTATTTGTCATTCTGAAGATTGAGACTGTATCAGCATCACATTATTTGTTAAAGGCTTTGCAAAGCAACATGTTTGAATACACAGAGAAGACAGAGCTTTTGATGCAATTGCATTTGCAATTACTGCACAATTATTTGTCTGCGGGATATTCTGTTATAGACCCTGGTGAGAGTGAATTAAGAACCTGCAGTTTTCCTTCCTAAATTTATATGTGTAGGAAGAAAGAGGGTTAGTGTAGTTTCTCTTTGCCTTGTGTGTACTCCAGGAAAATGAGGCCAAGAAAGATGTTTTATAGTTGTGTTTTTGTATGAGGCTTCCTCAAGCTTCCCAAGCTCTCGGCTTTCTTCCTCTGTATCATTTTATTTATGTATTTATTTTCTTTTTGAGTGAAAAGTGTGGGAGGGAAAAGACGTCCTTGGCCAAGGTAGCTTACCTGCCCTTAGTTTATAGACATATAGGAAGGAGGATGGCACAATGCAAACTGAACAAACCTTTTGCCTTTGTAAGTCTATTGGCTTCTGGCATTTTTTTTTTTTCTTTGTTTTCTGCAGCAGCAGGGAGATACGATGGTTCATTTGTTCTGTCTCCATGCTCGTTTCTGAGGGAAGCACCAAGATAGAATTTTTTGTTTTCCAGTAACTATAAAGCCTTTTGTAGTTGGCTGTGGTCAGCAGAAGGTAGCAAGTTGGTTTTGCTGATAATTTTTGAGGGTTTATGTTATAATTTAGGATATTTGCCTTGTAGTGGTGTCAGACGTCCTCCTGTGGGTATGGTTAGAATTTTAACTCTTATTATAGCTTGCCCCCGCAGCCGAGTGTCTTAGCAGATTCTGGGACTGATGCCGGTCCGCTGCAGCGCAACGGTTCGCTGCATTGGCTGGAACTTTGCTGCTCACCCAACTGACTTAATGCTGGAGTAGACCAGGAAGCACTGAACCGATTTGCTCTGTCAGCTGTCGTCATCAGAGAGACAGTAAACACAGATAGGTGATGCCTCCTCAAAATGTGTGGGTTTTTTCTTGTTTTAAGTTGTATCCAGTTTGGATGGGAAAAAAAATAAGTTTTTTAATTTTTCCTTCTGGCATATTCTGCTCTAACACAGTGATGGTGCCGGTTTTTCAACTTGTCGTTCACTTTTTCCCCCCCTCTGAAGTATGAGGAAGAAAGTCTAAATGGACATAAAATATGAGTGTCAGGTGTACATTTGGATGTGAAATACTGAGAGGAGTCTGTTGTAGATGACTGTCCATGTGAATGAATTTCTAGATGTAGTGTCTAGATCAGCACTGAAAGTAACATTATTCTACAGAGCCTTTCTAGAAATGCCGACAGCGGGGGATCCGTAGAGGAAAAAATAGTCCTCTGACCTCTGTATTTGGAATAGATCCTTACAGGTACTCCAAGACACATCAAGGGCCAGATCTATTTTTTTAGTTTAAATTCATGTATGTTTGGAATGTATTTATTGAAAAGAGCTACTTTAAAGCTATAATGAAGAGCATCCTAGAGCCAGATTGTGAGAAGACGGAATATAAATTATCAGGTGCTCGTTCACTTTGTAGTTTAACTTAGCATAAAAGAAGGTATTTCAGTTTGTCAGCACTGCAGGTTATCTGATATAAGCAGTCATATATTTGTGACTTGACTGTTCCTCTAAAGTGGAGAATCAAAATGCAATTTTTGCACTAATTAAGGAGCAAATGGTTTTATTTGTTAGTGGCTCATACAAACTCTAATGATGATTTTCTGCCCTTGGCTCATGTATGTTTGTAGATGTGAGGGGGAAAGGCTTGCGTTTGGTTTTTAAATCAGGGCAACTTTAGGTTCTTTCAAAGTAGATCTTGTCTTCACAGTAAAGAGATTGAGATTTCAAGAGTAAAAAATTGAGAGATTTCAAGAGTAAAAAATTCTGTCATAGTAATGCAGCCATCGTCCTTTGGCATTCTCCATTTCAGCGAAGACGCTCTAAGGTTGAGCGCTGAACTTCTTGAACGTGGGAGAAGCGTGAGCTGTTTCGCGGAGACAGGCTGTATTACAGTCATAGCAACAGCTGAACTCTTCTGTTCTTACAATCTGAAATGTTTTAAGGGATACGCTATTTGTTCAGCCATTATGGAGGGAGATTGTGGTAACAGCTGCTTTGAATTTGGGTTGGGAAGCTCATTTACAGCATGTGACAGTACTTGGTCAAAAAACCTGGTGTTAAGAACAGTCTATCAGGCTTTGAAATAGTTTTGTACTCACTTAAAGGTAAAGCAGTGCAAACTCAGAAAGCGTCCCAGCAGCACACCCTGAGTATTCATGGACAAAAAAATGATCTGTCTTTCAGATTATCAGGATTATTTCATTTCCAGTGAAAGCTCTTTGCAAAATAAAGCTGATGACAAGCAGTAAGCAAGAAATGGTCTTAACTAGTTTGTATTCAACTACTGCAGTGCTACTTATTTTCCTTCCAGTTTGTGAGTAATCTGAACTAACCGGTTTGCTTTTGCTGCTTTGGTCTCCTAATCTCATAGTAGTTGTTCAAACTGTGTTCCCCTTTTTTTTTTTTGTTTTGTATTTCTGTTGCAGTGCATGGGAGAGAGAGCTTTATTGCCTGGAAGGATATTTAAAAAAAAAAAAAAAAAAAAAAATCAATAAATGGTATGGCTTTTTCTGAATAACTGTTGCCAGCATTTCCAAAGTAAAAGCACTTGCTCGGCCTTGCAGCCTTTTCTATTCATCCAGTCTGCCAGGCCAAGTTTCAAATCGTATTTCTCTGTTTGTAATAACGATATAGTTCTCTAGTCACGACCCATGACTGCAGCAGTGACGTTGTGCGCATTATTGCTTTGGACCGTTACTATATACTAGAACTCTACCGGTGCTCATGCGTTGTAATTAGCAGACACATGGCTGGCTTTCCTGTTCTCCTGAAAGTTTAACCGACAAGTGCTATATTGAGGTGTTACCACACCTTTGTAATTTTTGCAGGACGCACTATATTTATTGATATATTATGAAGTGTTACAAATAAAATGGAATTGATAAAATAAGGAGTAATACACATTTGGTGATGCATTATCATTTTCTGTTAACTCTGCAAAACTTATGTGTAGTCGACATCTGGTATCAAGTTCTTACCAATAAGTTTTAGTCTAGTGATTTTTTTTTAAATTAAAATTTTATGTTTTTTAAAAAAACCCAAACTTTTGTGTTCTTTGCTTCACCAAAGTAGTTTATCAGGT